AAAAAAAAAGAAACAAGAGAAAAGATAGAATGTCGACGATGTGTGGTAGACTGGATGCTTATGGCAAGAGATATATCGGCGTCGGATAAAATGGCACACTGAATAATACTAAAATAAACGAGGAAGAAGTGGTTGTGAAAAATAAGATCGGACGAGTTTGAATGAAATCGGAAGTGTTGAAACGATCACAGTCCGCGAGGATTACACTTTCACGATAAATAATGGGAGGACTAACTTTTAACGATGATTACTTGAACATTACATACTATAATATCGTACGTATAAAAAAATAATAAACAAAATAAATCGAAAGCACGTTGCGTCTCCGACGAAACACTGTTCATTAACACATTCAGTATTCAACGAAAGTTAAAGGGATTTAACGAAAAATATGTATAAAAAACAATGTAAAAAAACGATATAAAAACGATGTAAGAGCTCGTAAAGAACTTATTCCTATACGTAATACGTGTATACGAAAGAAGTGAGATTTAATACGATCTCCCGAGAGATCGTAAAATATATATACGTGTATATAAATATATGTATACGCCCGATTACATACATACGTATACGTAACACGTAGAAGCAGAAATTTTGTAACTATATATTGTAAAATATAAAATACTGACAACTTTGTATAGAAATGAAGATTCGAGAAAAGAGGGAAATTATATTTCTCTTCTTTAAAAACTAAACAATTGCCACGTTTTCACTTTTAAGCTACTTTTAAAGAGACCATCGAACTCGATTATTTCCGATCAACGATGAAAACGTCGTGCGATTAATACTAGGAGAAAATCATTTTCGGCCTAACGAAAGATAATTGAAAGACATTAAAATAGTAATCGGTGGGACGACTCGTTGGCATCCTTTGACGCGCGTCACCGTCGTTTGTACGAATTTGCAAGATCCCCAAAGACGAACAACCGAAAATAAACTTATAAAAACTCAAACGAGATCAAATGATTCTGTTCAACGTAATGATAAAAGACCTATATCGTATCTCTCTCTCGCCTTGTCGATAAACTTAACAGCTTAAGTAAGTTCTTTGTGTTTTACACCAAGCCTTCATAAAAATATGTTTTTGTTTCTCGTACATTACAAGTATGCCAAGACTTATACATATATCAGGCCCTAATCTAACGCCCTTACGGAAAGTTCTCGTTTCCTCTGCCGTGTGCACGGAAACCTTTTTTTACGCCCCTCCCCGACCCTCTCTGTGTTTCATGTACATACGCGTATGGCACACTTTTTCCGAGGACAACGCGACGATCTACGTATACGAATTTCGAAGAACGATACCTGGCATACGATCGATAAAAAACCATGAATATCATTGAAAAAACTTACGTCACAGCTTTTCCACTATTGTACCGGGACATAGAGAGTCAGCGTGGGTCGCCGGAAGCCAAAATCATGAAAAGCGATGACCGGCTCCCCCGTAGGCTAACAGCGCTCGTATAATTTGTCAGATTTGTTACCTCTTGATCGAGGTCTTCCCCTGCTCTCAGAAATCTTTAACGTGTCCCAAAAAACTGAGGTCGTGTGTTTGATAATGGGTGGACGTAGCGAGCGGTGCGACGCTCGACTGGTGGGCCACGTTGACCGCCGTCAAATGGTGATGGTGCAACGAGTGATGAGAACTGTGCGAGTGAAGAATATTGTTTGGATGGGGAACTTGGAAGTTCCCTGGTGGCGGGGCTCAGGACAGGAGAGGACCGGGATGTCCGCCGGACAGAACGGACGACGCCGTCACCGCTGTGGTCTGCATGTTCGAAACGTTGTTTTGTTGCTGGTTCTGCTGCGTACCTGAAAACGAACCAACGATCGTTTAAAATGCATTTGACAATTTGCAAACGCGATCGTTACGCGTTCCGATGCTCACCAGCATTTTGACTGAGCTCTGCTTTCACCCGCCTTGCGATGTGGCTTCTCGTATGTTTTCTCAGATGATCCTTACGATAGAACCCTTTTCCACACTCGGTGCATACGTGCCGCTTCTCTCCAGAATGTATAACAAAATGTAACGTCAGCTGTTCTTTTCTCTTGAAAGCTTTCAGACACACGGTGCAAACGTACGGCCGTTCCGGGTTGTGGCTCTGTTTGTGGCGCGTCAGATGATCTTTCCTTTTCAGACCCGCGCCGCAAATGTCGCAGACGAATCTTCGTTCCAACGTGTGACCCAGAAGATGCTGTTCCAGCAGTTCGCGTTCCGGGTACGCCATGTGACACTCGGGACAACAGTATAACGTGGAACCGTCGAGGGCCGTGGTCAAGCGAATCTCACCGGGTTTCGGACGTGGCTTTTTCTCCTTAGGCGCCTTCTTCTTTTTCTTTTTCTTATTGTTCGGTGACATCATTATATTAGGCGTCGTCGTGGTCGCCACGGCCACCGAAGTGGTCTGCGCCATTTCCGATTCCTTCTTAATACTTTCGGCGGAATACTTTAAGAAGTGATGTAAACTTATTGGTAAAGTACTGGCTGGTAAATGACTGAGGTAATCTGCCACGGTGGATCCAGGCGTGGCCAGGGACTGCCACGTAGCGGGCATGGTCGCGGGAGTTTGAGTGTGTGCATGCTGCTGGTGGTGCTGATGCATCGTGTAATCCTGTTGGTTACCGTTCGTCGTCGTTTCTCCGTTACGCTGTTGCTCGTCTGCTTTCTTCTCCTTACTCTTATCTTTATCCTGTAGGAGATTGCAAACATCTTGTTGATTTATCGTTTCTGTCGCTTGCTGAAAAGTATCAATTTCAATCAAATGAAACGTCTTCGCGTCGAATGCGTCGAACAAGCGTTAAGAACAGGAAGCTTACCTGATGGTACGAACGCTTCTCTGGCATTCCAGGCGAGTTGGAGGGCCGCTGTTGCACTGGTTGAGCTTGCGAGTATGGCACGTTCGGATAATGATGAACATTACTGTTTGGATAGCTCGCTTTATTGTTCATCATCACTTGCGACTGAGCCGATTGCACGCCGTTGCTCTCAGGACGGTACTTTCCCATAACCGGCACTCCGATCGGAGGCTGGTTGGGAAAATGATTGGCGTAACGACCGCCCGCACCGCCGGAGCCGTCGGTCGCGAACTGGTGTATACTCGGAATGGTACCGGGGAAATGGCTTCCGAACGGCGGGAAATTCATTGCAAACCGTCAATCAGATACCTGGAACAGACGGACGAGAATCAGTACGTTCCGTACTTACACGTGCCGGCGTTTCGGGGTGGCCGATCTGAGGAACGTTCGTCGATGTTGTCAACGTTTTCTCACGATTTATCTGGAGATCGCGTTAATACACCGATAAATGCCGAGTGATAACATGTGCTCGCGAGGTACATCGGTACCGGTCGAACGACAGAATCGTGCGTCGGATCGAAAACACAGAGACGACGTCCCCGCGACACTGACAGTCACGGACGCACAACGAGAGAGACGGTTCGGACGACACGCGACGCGAACATATCCGTGGCGCGTCCAGCTCGAACGACGCCCGAGTATTTACTCACAGCGACGTCCCTCTCCCCATGTTTCCACGCCGTGGAACCGAATCCTTTCCTCGGAGGGGGGTCCCTGAGAGGTGAGTGCGAACGGGGTCGATTTTTACAACGCGAGAGACACAAGAAGCGAGTCGAAACACCACGCTGCCGTCGCCGCTGCGTCAGCCGCTTGTCACCACACGGGGAAACGTTTTTTGCCACTCTTTTTCCAACCGGCGACAACGGAGAAGGAGAGATCTTCGCCTAGGCACCGCGCGAGGGATCGCACTTTCGCGTAACGATAATCGCGAGCGGTTTATCGGCTATAGATGAGGGTAGGACGCGGAAAAAAAGACGTTAAAAACGAACATTGTACGCGGGCAGGATCGTCGCGCGATGCAAGGGGAAGGGTGGCCGTGGAAGAACGGCGCGGCGCGGAGAACGGGAATCGGTGGACGGGGACGGGAAGAATGAAGGAGAGACCGGGAGGATGCAGGGGGGATGATCCGGTGGCACAGGGATGGGTTAGTATGCGGGACGTGGAACGGAGTGTGAGGGGAGACACCGAGGCTTTCCCCTCTCGGCACCTAGTCGATACGCGCGGGGGCCGAATTCGCACGAAATTCAGCAGAAAATGGCCGTGCCCAGCACGGAACCTCACGAACCACGCACCGAGTAGCGTACGCCCGAAAACTTCGCCGAAATATCACTCTCTTACCATTTAGCAATCTGGCTGCACCCGCCCGACGATGATTTTCACCTTAACCCGAACGATCTTCCAAAAAGCTCCCCCGCTCTTATGTATGTGCCGTTGACACCTGTCCCTCAAGTCGGCGCCCCCACCCCATCCGTCCGCCCTCTACTGTGTCAGCCTCTTAACTATTTTTTCTCTCTCCCTGCCCTCCTCGCGGCCACGCCGGCGAAAATGCCCGAATCCATCGGGGTTTTAACTTCGAATTGCTCCCAGCGACCTGCCATTAGTTCCTCTCTCTCTCTCTCTCTCCTTCGTGCGCACACGGGAATCGAAACGAGTCGGGGATATGCCCCGGGGATACCACCGATCGGACCATTTTTTAATTAACAATTATTAATCACTATTCATGTGACGAGTGTAATTAATGAAATTTTTAATTCTCATGTCCATCAACGATACCGAGTACGATAGATCATTTAATCCCTTTGTCCAAATTACTGATAATGCAAATTTTTTGATTAATTAATTGGCTAATTATGAATATGTACGAATCCACGGTAGAAAACTATTCTTATATTTGGTCGATCAATAAAAGTTGCTTTATATTAAATGTATGTTTTATTTTAGCTTTTTTTCTCCAATATTTATGTAAGTAACAATGAAAATGACTTATAGACTATCCATACTGATTATGATAATAGCTATAATATGATAATAAAATAATAATTATATTTCTTGTACAGCTATACCCACTGCCTTTAATAATGATTCTTACAATAAAAAGTATAGTTTTTTCTTCTGTATACATTCTTTTACCTCAAAGTGTCTCGAGAGTACCATGATTAAACAGTAAATCGGATGAATCATTGCTAACAATTATTTGCTGTACTTTTGCCGTGCGTAGTAGAGGATGATTATTTTCGAATGCATTCAACACGAGGAAGAGAATTTGTCATCTTTGTCCTCTCATAAAAAATACCTGTTTAGTAATCGTTAAAACGAAGTTAAATACTATACAAAATAAGTTACGCTAACTTATTACAACTATAGAAATATGTATTAGTGGCTAAAGAAATGCTTCCCATCGAATTTAAATTACATACATAGAATTAATTGCCAGATGCGCGTGTTCTCCTGGCCATCGGAACTTCCGCGACGCGAAAAACTAATTCAGAAACGATATACTCATACCCATTTAGATTTTCCGTAACCTTTACGATGATAAGTTCATCATTTTTTAATAGACGGACTTAAATCGATAGAAAAATAAAAATCACTTCGACAAAGGTAACTAATTAAGGCATTTAGAAACAATCTTCTTCAAATCTGACGTTCATATCCCAAAAAGTTCGATTTTTTTTCTATTAGTCAAACTTATTCATCGATCCTTAACTATACGTTCTCCCGTACTTCGATCTGCAATGAAGAAATCAATTAGAATAAATAATAAAGGAATTTCACTTCGTATTTGCACGACAGTTCTGATTTGTTTTTCTCTTCGTATGCACGTTGAATCGGTTGTATTTACAATTGTGATCACAATCGTGTATGATTTTGATACCTTCCATGTTACGTATTTTCCCCTCCCTGTTTTGCGCCACCTCCTTTATCGTCGAAAGAAATTAATTTCAGCCGAACACTCGATTGCCTTCTGTCTGGCAAATCCAGTTCGCGCTTTCAAAAATATATTTTTTTATATATATATATATATATAAACTTCTTTATTACTTTCTAACGTGCCTCGTGGAACTGGATTAGCGACAAAAACATTTTAAAATTAGGGGAGCGGTTTCGCTATTATTCTTACTCCTCCTATTTTTTTTCTTCACACGTACGCTATAACGTGTACGCAAAAATCAAACATCGTACGTACGAACTTCGTTCGTCAGTCAGCTCACAGTGCGTTTTGCAGAACAATTCTAAACACATTACCTCTGGCCTACGACTTCCTCTTAAGAAGCTGATGGTGACAAACTTTGAAATACGATGGTTCGTCGATAAAAGTATCTTTATTTGAAGATACAGGAGAAAGGTCTCGATCCGTTTGTTTCGGAACACCACTACTAGGCAACGATAACCACCATCAACGAATTTTCCTTTACACGATACCAATTTAACTATGAGATTATAGTATTCAATCGGCAAGAACACCTTGCTTTGCACGACCTCTGGCTTGTTGGTGATTGAACCGGAAGTACCGCCCAGGTAGATTCGGGGCGGTATGCTGCTGCTAATGTTGCTGCTGTTGCTGCTGCGGCTGCGGTTGCTGCTGCTGCTGCTGTTGCTGCTGCTGCTGCTGCTGCTGCTGCTGCTGTTGCTGTTGTTGTTGTTGTTGCTGCTGCTGCTGCTGCTGCTGCTGTTGATGATGAAGCATAGCCATTGCACCAGTTTCCGCAGCAGTAGGGAGAACAACAGTGGACTGTTCAGTGACAGCTATCTGATGAATCTGCGCCTGAGATCCTTGGCCTACCTGAATCTGAATCTGTTGCAGCTCGGGCACGGACGGCTGCTGCTGCAATTGGTCCGTCTGTTGCTGCAGCTGATCCGCCTGCTGCTGTTGGTCCGTTTGCTGCTGCGAATTTTGCGAAGTGTCGACGATGTTTGCCGGATCTTCCTTGATGCGCTTAGCCAAATGTGATCTCGCATGCTTTCTCAAATGATCTTTGCGATAAAACGCTTTGCCGCATTCGGAGCAGACTTCGGTCTTCTGACCAGAGTGTATAACAAAATGAAGATTCAGATGCTCTTTCCGTTTGAAACCCTTCATACAAACTGAACAGATGAAAGGTCTGTCCGGGTTGTGGCCCAGTTTGTGCCGTTCTAAATGTTCTTTGCGCTTCAAACCTGCACCACATATGTCACAGATAAACCTCCTTTCTATTTTATGTCCTATGAGATGTTGCTCCAGTAGTTCTTTCTCGGGATAAGCCATGTTACATTGCGGGCAACAGAAGAGCGTTGTGCCATCGAGGGCGGTCACGATGCTCACTTGGCCTGGCTTAGGTTTCTTCGGTTTCGGCGGCTTTTTCTTGTACTTCTTCTTCCTCTTGGGTTTAGCACCAGGCTCTTGTTCCTCGACTACATCGGGAATAATTGCGGTCTCGCCGCTTGCCACGGTGATCTGGACAGCTTGTTCGCCGGACGCGGCGCTTCCTGATGCGTCCAAACCGTCGGCACCCAGGGGACTCGACTCGATGGTGGCCTCTCTCTTTATTGTCTCCGCCGAAAATTTCAAGAAGTGCTGCAAACTGAGGGGCAACGTACTGGCGGGTATCCTGGAGAGATAATCGGCGACGGTTGACCCAGGCGTTGCGAGACTCTGCCAGCTCGCGGGTAGCGACGTGATGTACTCCTCCCCGCTTTGATTCCCTTGAGTTTTAATAGTACCCCTTTTGATAAGCGCGACTGGTGTCGTACCTTCTTTCACATCTTCTTTCGATTCTTCCATACCTTCGCGTAAAATCAAATCCTGCGGAATCTGTGCGACGACGGTCAATCCTTCCGGTGCCCCTGAAAGCTGCACCGTTTGCTGAATGGTCTGCTGCGATGTGGTCGTGACCGCCGTCGATGTACTTTGGGTGGTTTGATCGGATCTAAAACAGAAATGGTGGACAAATCGATTAATCGAGACGGCGAACGGAGGACCGTCACGGCCGCGCTTCGTAAAGTATATTTACGTTTGCGTAGTAGCCACAGTGTTTTGTGGTTGTACTTGGATTTGCACACCATCGGCACCCTGTTGACTGTACGCAACTGTGAGAACCGTGGCTGCGCCCTGGGAGAACTGTCCCAAAGAGATCGGAGCTAAGTGATACTTTGGTTGATCGCCGCTGTTCCCGCTCTGCGAGACGCTGGGGTTGACCACCTGGATCTGGACGGTTTGCTGTTGCTGCGTCCCATCTTTCCCAGGTACGGTGATAGGCAGCGTGATGATCTGCTGCTGCTGGTTGTTACCACCCTGAGCCACGGCGAATCCGTTGGGATCGACTGGCCTCAGATAATGTACCCCGCCTTCGCCCCCGGACAGAACGCCGACTACCTGGCCACCGGCAGGCAGGTTTTGCGGGAATTTAGCAAACTGGTGAACCGTGCCCGTCGGCAACGAGCCTGTTGTAAAGCCGGGAAAAGGTGTGAAATTCATCTTTCACGAGGATCAAATCTGAAAAACACAGAGCAGACAATCGTCAATGTTGCGATGAATCGTTTCGATCGCTCGTCGATTATACGTCGATAATAATTAACTCAGCAACTCAAGAAACGTTTAAAACGAAATATAAAATGTTCACAAGTCGACAAGGAAATCAGAATAAAAACAAGACAAATCTTTCTTTGGTTCTCTTTTTAAATACCTTCTCTAAACGAAACGTGCTTATAATAATTGGCATGAAAGAAACAAAGAGAGTATCATAAAAACATTTGATACGTATCGTATTACACAGTCGCACTCACTTTGACGCATGAGTATTGCCGTCGAAGTGCATCAACCGTCGTTACTTCAAATCGTTTCTTTCATAAAGTGTTTCCAAGTGTTTTCATAGAACTCAGATATTCTCTAATCCGTTAACGTTTCTTCAGCAGACGCGTTCCGGAGTAAAGTAAATACGTCATGTTGCTAAATGCGAAAAAACAGATTGCAGGTCAATAAACATCGTCATGAAACCGATCGCATATCGTATACACAGAGCTCTTAAATCTCCCTTCCGCCCGACGGTCTTATATAATAGGCATTCTATATTCGTTTCCCATACTCGATATTAGCTACAGGTGGTTGTGGATTCGTATACGGCCCGTTGCTGAAAAGTTTCGTGACTCGTATACATACGTTCCCTGCAGCTTACCGAAAAGAACCACCCCCGGGGGCGAAACGTGCTTTTCTGCTCGTTCGCCACCCCCCGCGACGTACATACACGTATCGTGATAAATGCGGCAAGATCAAGGTCAAAAGCGAACGTGAATCGGACGAGTGGCCATCTGTTTACTCTATGGACGCAAGGGTAGTCGAATTAGACACCCCCGATACCTGTGTATCGTTCACCACCATGCGTTTCAGGCGAGTCGCATGCGATCAGAGGAAAGGTAAACGTTTATTCGCGAAAGTGGCCAAGTTAAAAGTCTGCCGTCTCGCCACCTCCGCGACACAGTCTTAGCATCAAACCGTTTGACCATGTGTTGGTATGTGGAGGTGGGGTGGGTGAGGTATCCCCCACTTCACCCCTCCCCCACCTAGAAAGGGATCTGGGAGCAGGGAGGATAGTCGTCGAAGTGGCCCAGGATCGCACCCCACTCCACCATGACGGTGCGGTGCCCCCACAAGGGTAGGGGGTAGGAGTTCTCGACAAGGGTAGGGGGGACCCATAGGTGGGAAAATGGGAACCCACCGCGAAATAGAGCCCGAGACTCCGTTCGTTATCTCTGTCCCACCGATGCACGGAATATCGCGAGAATAGGACGCGGGAAGGAACGGATAGACCGGTGTAGAGGTGCTGCGTAAGCGTGCGGCCGCAAGCTCCAAGGGGTAGGGGCATGTCAAGAAAGAAGGGAGACGAACCTCGACATACCAGGAACTCCCCGGGGAGGGGAACGCGAAATATCGGGAGAGAACATACGAAGCAGACATCGCGGCAGACGAAGTGGGACACACCGATGACTCTCGCCCTTGATCCACCCGCGGGTAGTAGGGAAGGAGCAGAAAATGGGCGAGGGAGAGAGAGAAGAGGTTAGGTTGTTACCCGTGCACCTCTCCTCCTTTCCGACGACGCACCGAGGAGGGTGCCGTGGCGTGTCGAACGGACGATTACTCCATGGCAGCGAGTCGTTGCGGGTGGTTGCACCGGCTTACAGTCCAAGAAAAACAACTACCGTAACACGCATAAACGAACACAACCGGGGATGCGTTTTTCGACTATCGCGGAATGGCGTGTGCGTACTGACCGGTCAACCTCGTCGACGTACCGTTGTTGGACGCTTTTGCAAGACGCGCATGTCGTAATGGCGTCGATTCTCTTAAGGTTCATCATGTCTCTCTCGCACTGTACGGTAGTCTCTCTCGCGTGCACGCATCGAAGAGAGCATGTCTGAGCGTTCGCGGTTTCTAGAGGAATCCTAGTGGCTCGTACAACGCTACGTACGCGGCTCGGAGTCTCGGTTTATCGGGGGGGGGGGCAGCGTACGTAGAACGGAATAACGGAATGGCTCTGGGGCATTGTGCAATCAGATACGCTCTTTACGCAGGGCGACCATAAAAAAATGTGCGTTCTTCGGAGACGCACCGAGAGACAGGGTAAAACGGGTAGCGTGGTACAGGTCTACTGGCTCGAGACGGTATGATTTACTTGATAACGGGTGAACAGGTAACGTCGAAGCTCGACTCCGCGGTTATGTAAACATCGAGAGCGAGCGCACGCGGGACGAGTCGAACGGTTGAGTTAGGTAAGCCAGACAGACAAGGTTACCACGTCAGCACGTTTGCCGAGGTCCATCGGCCATCATGGGATCGAGTACCGAGTACACGGTGACGCGATAAAATAGCACAGGTCCGCGGAGCCGATGCTTTGTTCTCTCGATGATTATTCCCTCTCTCTCCCTTTTGCCCTGCGTTTCTCCCTCCCTTTGGTGCTCTTTCGATCGCGCATCGGGAGACGTTACGCGGAGAGGAAGTAGGAAAAAGATCGGGCGAGTTGGCAGAGGCAAGAGCAGGGCAGAGGCAAAACGGAGGACAGAGAGTAGAGCCAACAGAGGCACAGTCAGGGCTGTTGTTTACACCCCCACCTCGATGGGTTAGAGGCAGCGAGATGCCACGGAGGGGCCTCCGAGACCTCGGCGGGCACCCACCACCACGCAATTTCCAACCCCACCAGCCTCTCAACCACTGTCCGCACCTCCAACCACCCCACCAAAGCCAGCCCGAGCCAAGCCGTGAGCCACGACGAGGGCCCCGCGACGATTTTAGTGTCTTGGGGTGGGTGCTCTGTGGCCACCGTTTCGCGGTTTCTCGTGCACGTTTCGCATTAGGAGCGAAGCGCGTAAAGATTCACGGGGCGGCACCGTCCGCGGGCACCCGCGATCGCCGCCTCGAAGTTTGCTTACGAACGGTTACACGCGCGAGTTTTCCGTACACACGGACGACAACGGGAATCATCCACGAGGATAATGCGTGGCCTACTTACCACGAGTATAGCTGTGGTTCTCTTGTGCACTCCTTTCGACGTACTGCTACTACTGTCGCTGCGTCGGAAGCTTCGCGTAGTACGGAGACTGTCCGCCTGGCTGGCTCGCCTGCGTCGTTCTCGATGTTCAACGCGGCGGCAGCAACTTTCTCATTTCTACGTTGCGTCGTACACGTTTGCCGTGCCACGGCTCTCCTGCGGCTGGCCACGACGAGACCTACGGCGCATACGTCACGCGAGACGTACGACCGAACGAAACGTGCCTTTGTCGATCAACGGGTCGTGACTCGCGATAAATTCGCGCACTACTGGCGATCTCTCTGTGGTAACGGCGAGCCGCAACGCGCACTCATTTCCGGGTTTACGACAGCCGAGTTCGATTGAGTATGGCTCCGGTCGGTAGGTAAGCGTGGGTCTCGGGCCGGCCAACGGGGAATGAATTCGAGCTAACGGTACATAGCCACCCGACACGGTGGTCACACGTTAACTCGAAGCGCCGCGATGCTCAGGCCACTACTCTGTACTCTCCTGAAAACCACGAGCTGTGAAAGTAGACACCCTCCTTCTTCCTACGGCTCCACAGGCTTTATCTTGAACGGCCTCGTCTCACCGCCCTCGCCGAACGCATTCTCGTTTCCCAGTCAGTAAATAAAAATACGTTTTAACCGCGAAAACTTACGCCGCTATTAATATTCTATCGGAGAAATATCAACTATGGCGGCGGTTATGCACGGAGTATAGTGCGAGAGCGAGGGGAAAGCGGCGCGTGCGCGCTTCCCAATTAAACAATCGACTCTTATGGAACCGATCTATATAAAGGTATTTAAATGATCTTTACTGTTTCACGGGATCCGCGAACTTTCCGAAGAAAACTTATGACTAAACGTAAAACACCTGTCCGTCGCTCTGTCCTGCTCTCAGTCACTTCACTTCTTCTACCACTACGGAGCGACACTAACACCGTGCGCACCTAGCGGAGACTGAAGTGAGGTTAGGTCGAGAATCGATATTTCGAGAGTACATTCGATATCCGCCGGCCACCTCGTGTCGCGCGGTCTATTCGAATCGTCGACGTCTCTCTACAGGTGATCCAAACATTTGTAATGCGAACGTAATAAAAAAAGGAATAAAAAGTGATCGATCCGTGTTTTTCCTTTGATAACCTTTTTTATTATAAATATGTGTTACTCCATACTTTCACAGTCTCAAAATACTTTGAAGTCTAATAAACGTGTATACACTTAAGAAAAATATAATTGAGACATATGACACGACACTTATATAAGAAACGGTGATCCAACAGAATTTGTATTTTATACTACAATGTATATAACGAAATATAAATTATCGAATAATTATTACAATTACACTCATTAAATATAATTACACAAAGTTTAATCGCCCATTACAAATTCATTTTTAACATGCAATTTTAATTTGATATCTACACCAGTACAATTGGCCTGATGGCAATGAAAGGAATGAAAGAAAAAAGTTAGATATAAAATGCTTGTAGCGATCGAAAGCAGGGCACATCAAAACGTATCGGATATTCTTTGTAAGCGTTCCATGTATAAGGAGAATAGCAACTTATTACTTTCATAATAGAAAGGATTTTCAGCAGCGTCCAGATCTGGTTTGTACTCTGCCGTGTAACTGCTTTGGCTAGAACTGTATCCATCGTACAGCGGTGACTCTTGCGAGAGATCCGAGTAATTCGGCGATGGTATAAAGCCTCGGTTACAGCAATCGGTGTCCATATTCTCGGCCACATTCTCCTGTATCACTGACAAACTATTTATATGAAGATTGTTGATTCGTTTACTTAACGGCATGAAATCGCTAGATTCTTCTTCCACGTCGCGGCCTCTCTTTCTAAACGTCGGGCAAACAGAAATGGATCAGTTAGACAAGAGAGCATCGCTCAGGCGTTAAAGAGTTGTGTCATTACGCTCGCACGTAAGAGACTAACCTGTTAGCACAGATCATCATTGAATCGATTTAAACTTTCGGTAAAAGAATCTAATTCGTATTTAATCTTGACCACTGCATGTTACGATGTGACAGATTGTTCCTCGTTTCGGCGATTAACGTCGTGTGTTGGTCAGTTTACCCGTGCCTCGTAGACATTTGTCACGAAAACAAAGCTCGATTACACAAATCGACAGGATACTCCGATAGAATACCAGTCCGAGTATAGTTCGACCGTTGGCTGCTAGAGTGCGCGAGCGACATGTTTACGAGTTAAATGCGTTATAAATATGAATATTAAAAATAATGCAATTATTTTGCGTTGCGTTTAGTTAGGACGATAACGATCGAAGTGTAGTGTAAACGTCAGGTGTAATTATACGCCGGGAATGAAAAATGAACGCGATAACACGAATTACAATAATGCGGCCGAATGTACTTAACGACTTGACTAAGCAAATTTTAATTTGTATTTAAAACAGTGCAAACAGTGCCAAGCGTTATTTCGTTGTTTAAAGTGCATAAACTTTCGAATCGTAGAATCGTGTATCGATATAACAAGGAACGCGACGTGCGGCGAAGAGATCTACGATCAGGATGAATCAGAATCATGCAGGATCATTCATAACCAAATGATTCATCTTCCGCTCTTACGGTATGTCTAAATGGTAATTTCCTAGTATTCCACGAGTTATTACCTGTAATTCTCGTTTCTAATTATCATTGATGGTATACTTAACGATCGTCGATCATTCGATTATCAATAGCAAGTTATTTTTTTGTTCCTCTTTACACGAACTCTTATCAATGCAATCGTTTACTTTCGTGGCGTGACACTCGATCGACAAAATTACAGATACAATTAATCTTTTATCGTCTTGTAAGATGCACTCGGTTATCTTTCTCAGAATCAACGGTTCTTCAGATTGTACTATCGAAATTCGTAATAACCATCTTCTTTTCGCTACACAGCTAATTTTCAAGTGGCCTACCAATTTTGCGTTTCTCATTTCCTCTCACCCGAAGGAAATTGAACTGTTCGAGATTTCTATTTAACTCTCGACAAACATCTCATTCCATCATGTTCTGTCTAACCTATTTAAATGAATCGTTTCGCATCTCTCGGTGGCTTTTCTGAACGACGTTGCTGAACAGTCAAAGAGAGTCAAGTACACGTACTTGAAAAGTTAACGCAGGACCGTTTACAGTAAAGGATTGAACGCACATCGCGTACGGACGTCCATATTTGGTGGGTTTATGCACCGGTTGTTACGTGGGTGTGAACGCACCCTCGTTAGTCGCGTTAACTAGGTACGAATCGCTCCAATTACACTGTGATACGCGTGTCGACGAACTTAATTAAACGTCCGAAGATCTCCTGACGGAAAGCAGAGTCGCGGAATACCAAGCCGCTGTTATTACAAAATAGGAAACACGTCCGTCGCCTGGGAACCGTTTATCTCGTAGGATATCAGCATCCGTAGGATAACGAGTGTCTTACCACAGGAAGGGGAAAGCCTCTTCCGCCCTATCGTACATTTCCGACTTCTCAAGAATCATAGATGAACGAAAAACTCGCCGTTTTAATAATCTCATCGTTTAAGGATCTATTGGCTATATAGTCAATACCAAAAATTTATGTACCTTAGAAAAACGCATTTCCTGTAATTAAAAATAGTGTATTCTTCTTCTAATTTCGATATTTAATGAGTTACATATGATTATTTGGCATTTTATTGATGTTGACAAAATCCGACCATTCCAGCGTCGAAACGGCGAACTTTTGGAAAAGAATTTCGTTTTTCCTCAATAACTCCTAAACCCTTGGAGATACGGGAAAATTGCATAGAACCTTTCTTGTAGAGGACGACGAGATCTACAATTTCCATATAAAAGTTTTTCGCTAGGGTCAATAGTTTACGAGTTATTGACGAAAAACGAAAA